GAAGAAAAAAGCAGAGCTAACTTTTCAGGTCCTGTGACCCTCCTCAGAGCCTTATATTGGTTAACTGTGTTACACTTGGTAAGAGGCATTGGTATCTTATAAGAGATACCAAACTAACCTAAGTCACATGTTTATTAACAGTACAGGTAAGACTAACAGTCTGGAACAACTACAACAGACAACTAGAGCTGACTGTCTCTGGAAGAAACTAATCACTTATATCCCGTGGACAAAGCTATTCAAAGACTTCAGAGTTAACCTTTTCAGGCCATCTGCCTTGTACCACAGATGCCCACCCCAGTGCAATATAAATATAGCTCCTGGACATCGACCACTTTGACATAGTGTCAGGATCAGTGACTTTCTGCCCACCCCACCACACAAATGGCCATGCTCCTCAATCACGCATGGCTAATTAGTTGTCCCGTGATTCTGTGTCGCCACCTGAACGGCCTCTGAACAGAGCTCTCTTCTGGTCCTGCCATCAGGGTATTTGCTGGTGCAATAAGATTGCCCCATAATCTATCACTAAAATCTTTCAGTGTAGTTATGGTACATTTAACTAAAATCAATGTAAGCTACTCCATTGTTTCATGTTAGCATTTCATCCACAGAAAAGGTTTTAATTTCTCTCCGGGTGTGCATGGAACCGTCTTGAAAACTTGAAACTGTAACTCAAGATGGATTTCGTTGTTTTAAAAATATTTGAAAATAATTGCACTCAGTAACAGAAGTGAATTTGCTATCTTTCTACTTTCTGAAAAATATTAGTTAGTTGCATAGTTCTATTGGTTGTTTACATTTTTATTTCCAAGACTAACTTTCACAGTTTTACTTTGGCTGATGCTTATTGGTGGTGTTCAATGATCATATTGGAGTTGTTCACTGCTCCAAGCCTGTGCTTCGATAATACAAGTGGCTTGTGTGAAGAACAACATTCATTGATCTGTTGTGCCTAGAGGTCAGGAGCAGTGATCACCATCCTGCCATCTTAAAGTTCTGCACTATTTTTATAAAAAATATTTGATTTATGAGCTGGTGTCACATAGTATCAGAAAATTGTCCCTACAGCAGTTTATTTATTTTGCAGGAGGAGAATTTAAAACGGAAGCATGTATTCCATCCATTTCAATGCGCACAGGGCCTTATTCAAATATTTATTGGCATCAAAGATCTGAAACTGTGTTCTTTTCTTCTCTTGGACCCATCAATTTTAAATGCATATTTTCTTTTAAAGAACTGTGTTAAAAGAAGCATCTAAGTATGGTTTACAAAATCATAAATGGAGAAGGAAGCCATTCAACCCTGTAAGTCTGTGCCATTTCTTTGAAGAAACATGCTGTTGCCCTACAGTTCCACTTTTTCAAATGTTTGTCCAATTCCCTTTTGGAAATTGGGATCAAATCCCCTTCAGACAGTGGCATTCCAGATAATTGATAGTTAAGTAACTGAGCAAAAAGTTGACAAATGGAATATAATTTGGGAAAATGTGAAGTTGTTAATTTTGAAAGGGAAAATAAAGGAACAGAATATTACTTAAATTGAGAAAAACTGCAGAAAACTACAACACAAAGGTACTAGGGTGTACTTGTACGTGAAACACAGAAAGCTAGCACACAGCCACAGCAGATAATCAGGAAGGCTAATGGAATGTTGCCCCTTATTTCAGTGGGAAAAATGCTCGAGTCCGTTGTAAAAAATTTAATAGCCGAGCACTGGAAAACCGTGACAGGATCAGACAATAAAATGAAACGGAGAATTGCAGATACTGGAAACCTGAAACTGAAACAAATTGCTGGAGAAACTTTTAGATTTGGCAGCATCTGCACAGAGAAAGTAGAGTTAGCGTTTTGTGTCCAATTTTGAAGAAAGGTCGCTAGACCTGAAACGTTAACTCTGCTTTCTTTACACAGATGCTGTCGGATCTGCTGTGTTTCTTCAGCAGTTTCTGTTTTTTGCTACAGCATCAAGACAGAGTCAGCATGGATTTATGAAAGCAAAATCATGCTTGACAAATCTATTGGAGAGGATGTAACTAAGAGTTCATGAGACACCTCCACCCTCACCTCCATTCCTGGCCCCAAAAAAACCTTCCACATCAGACAGATGTTCACCTGCACCTCCCACATCCGTTAATCTGGTCTACTGTATCCGCTGTTCCCGATGTAGCCTCCTCTACATTGGTGAGACCAAGTGGAGGCTCGGAGACTGCTTTGTAGAGCACCTACGCTCGGTTGACAATAAACGAAAACACCTTCCAGTCACGAACCACTTCAACTCAGTGACCAGCGGTGTGCCGCAGGGATCTGTTCTGGAACCTCTGCTCTTTGTGGTCTTTATAAATGACTTGGATGAGGAAGTAGAAGGGTGGGTTAGTAAGATTGCCGATGACACGAAGATTGGTGGAGTTGTGGACAGCGTGGAGGGCTGTTGTAGGTTGCAACGGGACATTGACAGGATGCAGAGCTGGGCAAAGAAGGGCAGATGGAATTCAACCTGGAAAAGTGTGAAGTGATTCATTTTGGAAGGTCGAATTTGAATGCAGAATATAGGGTTAATGGCAGGATTCTCGGCAGTGTGGAGGAATAGAGGGTTCTTGGCGTCCATGTCTATAGATCCCTCAAAGTTGCTACCCAAGTTGATAGGGTTATAAAGAAGGCGTATGGTGTGTTGGCTTTCATTGGCAGGGGAATTGAGTTTAAGAGCTGTGAGGTTATGCTGCAGCTCTATAAAACTCTGGTTAGACCACACTTGGAATTTTGTGTTCAGTTCGGGTCACCTCATTATAGGAAAGATGTGGAAGCTTTAGAGAGGGTGCAGTGGAGATTTACCAGGATGCTGCCTGGACTGGAGGACAGGTCTTATGAGGAAAGGTTGAGGGAGCTGGGGCTTTTTTCATTGGCACAAAGAAGGATGAGAGGTGACTTGATAGAGGTTTACAAGACGATGAGAGGCATAGATAGAGTGAATATTCAGAGACTTTTTCCCAGGACGGAAATGACTATTACGAGGGGGCATAATTTTGAGGTGATTAGAGGAAGGTATAAGGGAGATGTCAGAGGCCCACTCACACAGAGAGTGGTGGGCGTGTGGAATGCGCTGCCGGCAGTGGCAGAGGAGTCAGATACATTAGAGACTTTTAAGCGACTCTTGGATAGGCACATGGAGGATAGTAAAATGTAGGGTATGCAGG